TTATTTAATTTCCATCACTTCAGTTTGATCTGTAAATGGAGGGAAATCAATATTGATATAAAGATGTAACATATAATTGCCACCTAAGTGTTTGCTAAATAGTCAATAAACATATACCAAGTATCTACTATATGCCAGATCCATATATTAGCCCTCACAAATTTATAAATAATATTTACAGTCCTTTTAATTTAAAATGCTATTATTATTTACAGTTGAACTATGTATATAGACACCACCAAAATACACAAACTATTGCCTAAATCATAGTTTACACAAACTATTGCCTAAATCATAGTTTCCCTATTTTATATATTCTCAATACACTATGAAAATACTTCAGGTATTTTATATGTAGTAGAAATCTAAATATACTTATTGAGGGCATTAAGTTAAAAACCTCAAAAGTGAACCTTGAGGTTCACTCTTCCAGAGTGAGTGTCATAAATCTCCACACTTTTTCCATAAATTCTTGTCAGGGGAAGATATAAAAAGATTCCTAGATTTGTATTCCAGACTTCTAACAAACTACTATGCAATTGTTGTCACTTTTTCAATGTGTATAAAGACAGAGTCCTTTATGCAAAATTTTAAGTATTACATGTAAAAAATTACTTTCACAATTAAGGTGAGTAACAGTTGATCCATCTAGTCTGAAGTGTCTACTCTTGCTTAATCCTGGAGTTAAGCCAGGAAATTCAATGGACATAAGGCCATCCAGTGGATTGCACAATATGATTACAGCATCAGTGGTCATATTCTATATGTAACTTCCTGAGAGAGAGAATTCAATCGTCTTAGCTCAACTGGCTTATGGTACCCAAGACACTCTGATAATCTCACCAAAATCACACAGGAGGATATGGGCAGTAGTTCCCTAAAGGAAAAAACAAAGCATCATTAGCAAAAGAAAGAAACAAGGATGCTTGGTATGAGAAATAAAGAGTTGATTACACAATACTGTATACTCAGAAGACTCAGAAAATATAAAAAAGACACCCAGGAAATGCCACAGAACAGCAACATAATCTCCGATGTAAAAGACAAAAACACACCAGGGCAGTGTTCTCCTTTATTTATGAATTCCAGGCCAGAGTGTTTTATTTTGTCCACTGCAGGTCACTGCCAATTATAAGCTTCTGGAATAAAAATGTAGCTCTTGATAGGATCTTTGCTGATTAGCAGATAGAGAAAAATTGCAAACAACAACTGAATTTAAGCTAACCTATTGTAAGGCCCCCAAACCAAATTCATATTTTAAAAAAATTGTTCAAGACTACATGTAGTACTATAAAAAAAAAACAAAACACAATTAAGTGTGAAAGTTCCTCTTCCCACTGAAAAACAAATATTGTTTATGTCTTTATGTAATTTAAGTCTTTCTATCATAAATAAAAAAGAACAAGGGCTTAGCAAATATCAACTTTGGCTCCAAAATCAACTTTCCAGAAACTCTGATTCAAAACACATTTACTTGCTCGAGCTTCTACTAAAAGAATAATCCTTTGATGGCTTTAAGTTATGATGTTCTGTTTTATCTGATGACAACTTCAGAGTTTTGTTTTATATTTTGGTTCATAAAACATCTTGGAAAACAGATATTACTTTTTAAAAAACTAAGAATTTTAGTGTCCAGATTTTAATCATTTAATCAGAATCAAGTTTTATCTTCAAACTTTTCCAGACTACATTAATATCTGGAAATATCTAAATACATAGTATGTATAATACAAGGCTGGGACTAGTGGTGAGGCAAGCAAGGTACCTAGATCATATGCAAGATAACCTATACAAAGATGTATTGTTTAGTACTTCTGTAATTATACATTAACTTATACTCAATAAGCTTAGTCAAATGAGGAACATCAGACTAAACTCTCCACTTAAAATGGTTAAGATGGTAAATTTTATGTTATGTGTATTTTAGTGCAATTAAAAAGGAAAAAATGAGAAATATCAGTATCCCTACTCATAACTAATCTATAACGATGTGTAAGATTAACTTCATTTTCAGCTATAATGAAGGCACTGCATTATTACAAAACTAGCAAAAAAAAACAAAAGAACCCCACAAATGTGTTAGAATTAGAAATAACCAAAAATTACTTAATCTAACCATTTCGTACTGCAGATAAGCAAAGTAAGGCCATAGTTAACATACAGAATTTGAAACTGCTGACCACTGGCTCCTAGAAATTCCACACACCCTTGGCTTCCATTAACTCTCTAGCCTTTCCTACCACAATTCTGATTACTCCCTTAGTTTCCTTCAAGGATACTTTCTTTTCTACTGACTACTAAACTGGTATTCCCTTGTCTCACTGCTATTTAAACTTTACTTTTTTAAATGATCCATTCTGGTTTTAATCATCTGTAGATGATTCCCAAAATTATCTCTCTACTGTGAATCTCCTCCTTAACCTCTAGATATGAATATCCTACTACCTAATAGATAGCTGGATATTTTACAGGCAATTTTGAATACATGTGTAAATTCAAACTACTTATTTTCCCTTAACCCTGAAAAGGTACTTCTTCCATCATTAACAGCTTCATTATCCACTCACACAGTAAAACCAGAACCTGGAACACCATTTAGACAGCCTGCTTTCTCTCATTCCCTAAATTTATTAATCACTACATTCTGCTGATTTTACCTTAAGTCTCTCAGGAATCACTAACCAAGTGGCCTACTGTCTAGTCTTTAGAAATCATTCTTTAACATGCTTTGTCAATTTTTTGGTTGTTTCAGGCAGCAAGATAAATCTGGCCCCTGTTACTTCATCCTGGGCAGGCGATGTTCTCCAGTGTATCTTAAGTTGTTGAATATTCATGTGCCTCTTGTGAGCTTACAAATATTATAAAGATTTCTTATATCATTCAGAATCTTAAATTGGAAGATATTCCTAGAGCTGTCAAATAATCTTGTAACTTAATACCATCTTTCTCATCCCCTGTTAATTATACAACTACTCAAAATGATATCAATAAAGAGTAGTTATGCTAAATTAGTCAATTTTTAGTGGAATGGATAAAAGGGAATGAACTTATTTAATACAACTACTTATATCATTATAAAATAACTTTGAGAACTAAAGTAAACTTCAAACAGTTAAATATTCTTGAGAGCTATTATATTCTAGATAATGCAATAGTATCATCTAGTTCAGTGGTTTCCAACCTTTCAGGCACCAGGAACCGGTTCTACTATGAGAATCTAATGGCTTGATGATCTGAGGTGGAGCTGAGGCGGTGATGCTAGTGCTGGGGAGCAGCTGCAAATACAGATGAAGCTTTACTTGCTTGCCCACCACTCACCTCCTACTGTGCAGCCCTGTTTCTAACAGGCCATGGACTGGTACCAATTCATGGCTGGAGGTTGGGGACCTCAATCTAGTTCTTCTACAAATGAGTAAATATTCAACTGAGACAGTATGTAAATTCATCATGAGCCAGGTAGTGCATGTCTTAGGCATCCTTTCAGTAAATGACTTTACCATTTCTCTTTGGGACTAAGAATTTTCTATGGGATCCCTCCAAAACAGACTCCCATAGATGCTTCAAAGAATGGCTCTTTGCCTTTTTCCTGTTAGATCTGGAGAATTACTGTTTCTTTTGTCTCCTCAGCATCTAGCTTGACACATAACAAAAATTAAGTGCTGAATGTGAGAATGAATAAAAAAGTAATAAATGAAGGAAAGAGAGCATTCCATATGGTATTCCTAGGTAATTAGCTATTTAAAAAATTAAGTTTATCCTAGGGCATTAAAAAGTTAAAATGCTTATGATTATTAAGTAAATACTTAGTTTTAAAAGTTTTTAAAAAATACAATATTTATCAAAAAGGATATATGAAATTTCAGAAAGCCAAGGAAGATATACTAAGAAGCAGTAGGACCTTGGAGCAATCCCTGAAATTAAATTCCATCTTCTTCACCATCTCCTCTGTGAGGAGAGTACAAGGCAAATAAATTTAAAAAGACACACTCTAAGAGATCTGCTGTAGTCTCACAATAGTAGAACAGATAAATACTTAGAAGAGAAAGCTATACACAACAGTCAAAAGAAGGCAAATTTTGTGTAGTACGTTAGACATCAAAACACAAGCTGTTGTCTGTAAAGGTATATTATACACTAAGTTTCAGAAAAGAAAAGTATTTTTCCTACCACAATTCTTAGTCACAAATCAGTAAAACCAGAATACAACTCCTAAAAACAGCTGGCTTAAAATAAAGTGCTAAAAAGCATGGTATATAAAGTAAATTACTGGAGAAAGATCTGATAATATTTAGATTTTCCCTTTTTTCCATGACATATTATTTGTAATAAATCATAATTTAGAACTTCAGATTGAACTATAATCAGATAAGTTCATTATTATTTACATAATCATAGTTAGAATATGTGCTCTACGTAGTTACTCTTTTTTTACTACTAATTACTTTAGTATTTACCTTTATCGAATACTAAATACATCACAGATTAACCCTTCTAGAAGATCGCTAAACTAATATGTAACAAGATGGGTAGTGTTCATCAGAAAAAAAAAAAAAACTCACTTATATTACTGGTGATTTAAATAGTACAAACAGAATGTGTTAAATCAGTGAAATTAGATGAACACATAAAGGTCAGTAAGGCATTATGCAGAAACACAAGAAATAAAAAAGACTTCTTAGGTGATTTTCTGGTGACCATAGACCAGAGTAAGCTAAGAATAGGTTGAGTTTGACTAATTTGAGAAAGAGAGTATAACTGAGATAAAATTGTTACCATTCTAATTCCCATCAATAAAAGGTCTGCTTTGAGATTAAAGATGTTATCAAAATAAAAACTACATGTATAGTTTTCAGGAACAAAACCACGCATGGTCTAGTTAAGCTCTACAATGATGGAAGGCATGGATAAGTTTTATACAAGGACTGAGTGCTACATAATAAAAGAAATTATAAGGAGATAGTGTTTTATTTAAAGAGGCTAACACTGATTTTAAGTGTTCAGCAATATGTTCAGTACTGTATATATTCTGCTTCTACAATCCAGACAACATAAGATCACTAAATGTTTTTTGCATTCATGTCTCATTTGTTCCATCTGATGCCACCAGTACACTGAAGGAAACTCTAGGGAAGGAAAACAAGGGAGTCAACAGAAGGAGTTATTAGGATAATATTAACTGTAAAATTATGCGAGTTAAGATTGGTGAGACAGCTGATGCATGCAAAAAAGTCATATTTCCTGCAAGATATGAGTTAAAAAGAGAAACAAAAGAGTAGCAAGACACACTTTCTCCCTCCCACTCTTCTCTTAATTTTTCTTACAAGCAACATGCTCAGAAATGAGAAGCTGTAAACGATTGCCAATATCCAGGTTATTGGCTCTTGTATTAGAGAGTATTTCAAATAACCACATTCACTGATTGATATTAGGCAACTGGAGTTGTTTTTAGATATATTTTTAAAAAGTGTTTTGATGGGTTTTCATTATAGCAATCAGAATATATTATAGTTATGCATAACATGTCTGTATCTGTCCGTGTTACTTTTCTAATACTACATAACAAATTACCACAAATGTAACAGCTAAATGTGATTTACATATCGAGCATTTGAAATATTTTAAATAATGCTTAAAGAGAAACAAAAAGTAGAATGAATTAATTTTTTAAATTCAAGGAAAACCTCAAAATTTATTTTTATAACTTTATAAGAAAGAACATGTAATATGTTTTTCATATAATTTTGTTAATAATATGCAAATTGCACCAATAGTTTTCATCCAAATTATGGAAATAAGATGGTATATGCATAAGTGTTACAATGAGAAAATTTTTACCAATACTAAAGGTGCTAAAAAAGGATCACTGAAGTTAAAATCATGATTTTTCATTTACCTGCAGTGTGAGTCTCTTTACTGCATTCCATACCGCTCCAATAAATTCTTTCATTCTTTCTTCAGCACTTCTACAGCCTTCGGATATATTCAGCATGGCTTTCACAGGAACTGACAACGGTCTAGATTCTAGTACAAGAATAGCTAGTTATTTAACAGAAATGTACCTTACAGTTTCACAAAACTATATAGAAAATATTTAAGATTATTTCTTCCTTGTTTAAAATTAAAACTATTTGAGATTATAAAATATTATATTAGATCGTTTTATCATAAAATTACTGAATCATTTGCAACTATTCAAAAATAAGCAAACAGCAAGTGATCAGGGTTAGGAGGGTGTTGGTTACTCTTGTCAGTGATTGGTGATTGGAAAGTGGGTTTGTGAAGCAATGGTAATGTTCTGTTTATTGAATACCTGGATGTATTCACTTTGTGAAAATTAAGTTGTAAAGAACCATCTGTCTATTACTCACTATAAAAGTAATTCATCAATAAAAACTTTATTTGAAAAGGGAAAATTCAACTACAAAGTACATGATTCATCCAAAATTGGTAAGAAATGAAACTTCTCATATGTGGATTCTCCTGTAACAACAGATATAGACTCTCTCAATTCTAAAAACTGACTTTGATGGTAATCAAAAGAAGTATGTGATTACATAAAAGGCAGATTTATATATTAAGAAAAATGTAATATTCCATTCACTATAGTTTTGTTATTAAAATTTTGTTCATCTAAAATAAGAGAATTGACAATTTTATAATGTAAATCTTCAGAAATTAAATAATTTAATAATTCATAACATATCTAGAAGATTCACATATATTTATATGTTTTGTTAATGCAATGCAAACATATAATTTATATGTAATATTTTAAGTAGCATAAACCAATCAGAGATTACTTTTCAAGACTTTTACTAAGTTGATGATCCTAGGATGTTTTTCAAAGTAAGTGATACTATATCACCAGTATGAGAATGACAGCTGCCATATTTATTCATACTTTCCCTCTCCACCCAACTTGGTTCTTATATTTGCATTTATATTACATTTACAATAGTTTAGGGCATGGAACACATACCTTTTTTCTCATACTGATAATCCCACAGTCTAGCATATTTGAAATTCAAAAAATGTTTGTTTAAAAAAAAAGTTTAGAAGAGATCCATGGAGATATCTGGGAGCAGTACACACTAGGAAGACAGAAGAACAATGCAAAAGTCCAGAGATAGGTACATGATTAGGATTTTCAAGAAATAGTATAGAAGCAGCAAGGGTAGCTAGAGCAGAGTAGATGAGAAAAGTAGGAAACATATTTTTGAAAGATTTTCTCTGGCTACTACGTAGAAAACTGACTACATGGACCAAGTATCATTGTGAGAAATGGTGGCAGCAATGGTGGTAGTAAGAAGTGGTGAAATTCTGTATCCATTTCAATGATATAGCCAAGAGGATTTACTGATGGATAAGATGTATGGTAAGAGAGAAAAACAAAGCAAGTCGACTCCAAGGTTTTAGGTCTGAGCAACTGGAAGAATGGAGCTGTAGGAGGAGAAGTGAGAAAAAAAGAAACAAATTTTAGACCTGTCAAGTTGAGATTTCCATTAGACGCATAAATGTAGATATCAAAGTGGCAAATGGATAAACAACTATAAAAAAAGGGAAAAGAACATGAACAGATAATTCACAGAAAAATGGATTTGGCCGATAAGCTTATTAAGATACAGATATGCTCAACCTTACTAACAAAGAAATAAAAATTAAGACAACAATCATGTTGGCAAACATTTTAAATAGTTAATCTGTATGTTTACAAAATTAGTCATTGTTGAAACCTCTCGTGAGTATGTTTCATATATCACAAATATAAATAAGTATGACCTACAGAGTAGAATTATAAGAGGGCCAATATGTAACTATCAGAATTTAAACATGCATATTTTTCTACAAAAAAAAAAAAGTCTCATTTCTAAGAATCTATGCTACAGAAATACTAAAACATGTGAGAGTGTATGCATACAGAGAATTTATAAAGGATGTTCAGTATCAGCGGTATTATTTGCCATAGCCAAAAAAAAAAAAGTGGGGATAGAAAATGTTAAGGAACTTATCTGTCCATCAAAAAAGAAATGGTTCAATTAACTTCAGAATATCTGCAATGAAGATTATCATTTAAAAATGAGACAAAGGTTTGATAGAAAGCACATTTTTGATAACTTGTAAAGTGAAAAAATGTATATGTGTAGCATAATCCAAGTAAGTTTTTAAAATTGTGTGTGAGCTTGAGCATGTATTTGTCTACCCCATACACAGAGAAAGTTATAGAGGAGTAAAAAGTAAACCTATGATGGAGGTTACACTCTGAGAAGGGTAAAATGGAATTTATGAGGGGTAAGGGTGAGGGGGTCATTAACTCTTTATACTCTTTACATTTCATAATGTTTTATAATAATGAATTACCTACTATGATTTTTTAATAAAACACATTTCTTTTATAGTCACTTGAACTTCATTGCTTTTCTTTTGTACATTAGTAGTTATGAGAGGAAAAGGTTTCCTAAACTTACTGTAGAACTCTGCCTACTGAAATAACTGACTTAAATGTAGACCAACCACACAAAAACCTGCACATGGATGTTTACAGCATCTGTATTCATAACTGCCAAAACGTGGAAGCAACCAAGATGTTTCTCAGTAAGTGAATCAATATAAACTGTGGTACATCCAGAAAATGGAATATTATTTCATCACTTAAAAGAAATGAGCTATGAAAACACATGGAGGAAATTTAAATGTATATTACTAAGTGAAAGCAGTCAGTCTGAAAAGGCCACATACTGTATAATTCCAACTATATGACATTCTGGAAAAGGCAAAACTATGGAGACAGTAAAAAGACCAGTGACTGCCAGGAGTTAGGGCACACAGAGGATTTTTAGGTCAGTGAAACTACTCTGTGAGATACTGTAATAGTAGATACCGGTCATTATAAATCTGTACAAACACAGTTAATGTATACTACCAGTGAACCCTAACGTAAACTATGAACTTTGACTGATTATGCTGTGTCAACATAAGTTCGTCAATTATAACAATGTGCCATTTTGGTGGAGAATGTTCATGATGGGAGGGCTATGCATATGCAGGGGCAGGAGACATATGGGAAATCTCTGCACCTTCCCCTCAGTTTTACTATGAATCTAAAACTGCTCTAAAACATACTATAAAAAGTAAATATTAAAAATGGAGACCAAATTTTAAACTATTTGAAACAATGAATATAAAATGTTTCCACAGTAGTTGTTAATGGTCAAATTTTCAAAATCTGATCTAGAATCTCAGTGTTATGTAAATACTATTATTATAACTTAAAAATAAATCCATCTAATAAATGCTAACATTATCAAGCAGTTAAGACACCATTACATGAGTATAAAGTGATGTAATTTCAAGTTACTACTAAGCAAAACAGTCACATGTTTATTGCAAATGCTATCTTCTTTAATATGATGATCAAATGAAAAATAATTAAAGGAGGCCCTGAAATCTTTATGTAGCTTAGTGCTGTTCAAAAAGCTATGACAAACATAATCAATTAAAAATTCTCATTAAAGAGCGTTATCTGGCTATTAGAGGTATAAAAGCACACTATTTTGGATATACTCATTTTCAACCCATCATATTTTCTAAAAGATAACAGCAAGATGAGTTTGTTTTAAAAAAAGGACAATTTTTTCTGTAGTTATATATATTTTATAGGTAATATATTTACACTTTATAAAACCATGCCAATCTTGATCCTTATTTAACCAAAACCTCTGTATCACCTACTACAAGCCAAGTACTGCTATAAGTGCTTCATAAATATTAGCCAGTTTTAACCTCATCACAACCCCATGAGGAATGCATGATTTTTTAGACTATCATTTTCAGATAGGGAAACTTGATCATAGACAAGTTAAGTAACACTCTCAGTCACCTGGCTGGTAATTGGTAAAACAGGGCTGAGAATCTAGTTTTTATTTTTAACTACTATTCTTTTAACTACTATGGTATAGTCCCTCTTCTGTTACTCAAATCTTGTTTAATTACTTCTAGTTCTACCAAATGTAATAAATGTATCATATTTTTACCAAGGATCATGGTACCACAAATAGTTCAGAAAGCATAAGATTTGTTCATTCCCATGGGAGCTAAATAAAATCTACATTAATATGATACACTGATATCCATTTATTACACTTCTTGTTTTCAACAATAAGGTAATTTTTAGACTAATACCTTAATGATTAAAATAATATCAACAATTATTTCTTAGGCATGTATCATCCAACTTGGTATAATACTGATCCTTTATTTCTGTGCCTTGGACAAAGTCCTGCACTTGGAGTCAATTTGAGTTAGAGTTTCACCTGTGCCACTGCAATAATTGGAGAAAGCAATTAATCTAAGTGTCAGAAGTTAATAATACCTATATCTAATGTCAAGAATGCTGTTTAAATCAATGTATATAAAAACAGCTCATAAAAGTATTGTAAATATAATGAATAATGATGATGAAAAATAACTGGTATAATGTATAAGAAAGAACTTTATCAGATCTGAAACACTACCCTCCTTTTCTATCACAATCAACCAATTGTTTTAGTTGTACCTTACATGCCATTCCCTCTGATTTCCCCAAATTAGATTTGGTCCTTCCTCTATAATCACAGAATTCTGACATAATTCTGTATAACATATTTGATTTTTCATGGTATAATATTAAACATTTGAATATTTGTGTCTACAAAAGTAGCGGCAAAGCACAGTTGTAGGGTATAGCAATAAATCACAGTGAGTAATGGTTGGACTTTGAAGGTACATCTTTGGTTCTGCCCCCTGCTAATCTTTCTCTTCCAATGAGAAATAATCTTTATAGACATACTTATTAACACCAATTAGATAAAATGGCCGAGGAAGAATAAAGCTAGAAAATGCAAACCACAAAATTAAATAACTAGTTTGGCCCCTATATATCAACCAATGATTTATATCAGCACATTCCCTTCCTTTCTTAGGGTTGAACTGGAACCTGGTAACAATTACTCAAAGTCAGCAGATCAGAAAACTCTATTCTTATT